TTGAAATTAAACATTTTATTTTTCTAGGCTCATCCAAAGGTTACACAAAAAAAGGACAAAAAAGAAAACGGCGAAAAATTGAGGATAGTTTGGAAAAAAGAAAAGAAAGCAAGAAAATAGAAACGCAAAAAAAGCATGTAGTAAAACCACCTTGCAACATACAAAAGTGTAAGTTAAAATGTTTACAAAAAATATCGGAAGAAAGAAGAAGTGCTATTAATAGCATGTATTGGCAACTAAATTGGATTGAGAAAAAAACATTTGTCCTTAATTCCTTGTCACGAAAAGACATTAAAAGAAGAACTGTAGAAGCTGAATCTTCTCAAAGAAAAAACACGTTTAAATACTTTTTAACAAACGAGACAGGAGAAAAAATATATGTATGTAAATGCTTTTTTTTAACAACACTTGGTTATCACCAGAAAAACGATTGGCCAATTCAAGCATTCGTTAGGCAAAATGTGTTTCAATCGTCTACTCCTATCTGCCCTAAAAAAGATGGACGTGGGAAGGCGGCTTGTAAAAGCAAAATATCTACTTTAAATCTTGATACGCATATAGAAAGTTTTAATCCCAGTATATCCCATTACAGGCGTGAACACGCCCCGTACCGTAGATACCTGCCTAGTGATTTAACCATAGAGGTCATGCACCAAGATTATTTAGCAACCTACCCTCATAATCAATGCTCGTATGAGGTATATCGAAAGCATCTTAAACATAAAAACATATCTTTCACAAACCTGGGCCATGAAGAGTGCGAATTGTGTGAAGTATTCAAACTACACAATAAAGAACATAATTGTTCTGAGAACTTGAATCCAGCATGTAGTGAATGTGATAGCTGGAAAGAACACATTCAACGTGCCAGCGATTCAAGAGAATTATATCGTTTGGATACAAATGAACCATATACATCAACAACCCTTAAAGTCTCTGTTGACTTACAAAAAGTAATAATGTTGCCAAGGATAGATATGTTTAAAAAAGCAATATTTACCCAAAGAATATCGACATTCAATGAAAGCTTTGTACCCCTGGGTAAAGGAAAAAAACAAAAAACATTTGCATGCCTATGGCATGACGGTATTGCCGGACGGGGAAAAGAAGAAATAATTAGCTCATATAATGCTTTCTTTTTACATTACAGGGATATTGAACATTTTGTTCTTTGGGTTGATAACTGCTCAAGTCAAAACAAAAATTGGAGTTTTTTATCTTTCCTTGTATATATTGTAAATTCTGACGATATATCTGCTCAAGATATTTGTATTAAATATTTCGAACCAGGGCACACCTTTATGTCCGCCGATAGCTTCCACCATCAGGTGGAACTATCTTTAAAAAAACAAAAAAAAACCTACGATTTTAACGATTTTGTGACAGCTGTTGAAAATGCAAATTCAAAAAAGGTTGCAATAAAAACAATGCAGTATACAGATTTTTTTAAGTGGCAAGATTTCACGTCACAAGCAAAAATTAAAAAAATAGAGCCTCGACCTTACTTGTCGAAAATAACAGAAATTGTTGCCAACAGGGGATCATTTAATCTTAAGTACAAGTTAATAAATAACTCCGATAGTGTGTTGGAAATGAATTTTCTTCAAAATAAAGTTTTAAAGAAAAAACTTCCCAGCCCTCAGGCATTTACATCTCCATGTGGAGTATCAAAAAATAAAAAAGAAACCCTTATTAAAAATTTGAAAACCATAATGCCTTCAAATAGATTACAATTTTGGCAAAACCTTGAGGAAGATAAGGATTAAGATAATTTCTTTTGTGTTAAAATTTTTTCCTTTTGTATTAAATTTTGTTTACCCTGTCCAATAAATATGTTTTATTATTAGATAGACAGTTTTAATAAATTATTCAAAAACCAATTTTGTTGTTTAATTATGTTTTCTTTGACATTATACTAAGAAAAAACACCGCATAATCATAACATCAGTAGATGCTGTAGTTTTACTTAGCAATTCATAATATTACTTATAATTTTTTCCCAGTATCTGCCATGGTAAGCGAAAAATTAGGATAAACTACTGCCCTTTTTTAAAAAAACATAGTTTATTTACAGTTTTATTGATATAAAGTGAAATCATTTCAATCTGCATCGATGTTACAATTTTTTCACTTTTTAAAAGTTTCAGATTCTTTAAAGTCCATTAACTCATTATTATGAGTAGTGTAGATGCTGTGGTTTTCCTTAGGAGGCAGTATAAGATTTGACCTCAGTTTATTTCCATCGGAAATTAAATACAGAAATCCTAGTGATATAAACTGGGTAGGATATAGAAAATACCTCAGTAGAAATCTCGGGGAAAGTACGAACGTATTTAAAGTCTTAGAGGCTATAAATGCGGCATCAGAAACGGTGAGCGAAGCTATTATGGCGGCTTAGCATAAAAATTGTACGGAAAAAAAATAAGGAAGAATATTGGCAGTAATAGTCTGGTGGAACAACGGCTCAAAGAATCTAAAGGCAGAAGTCGGAAGCCTATTTAATAAAGCCAAAAGTGACCAAGACTGGGACGCCTATAGGTATAAACTAGCGCTATACAATAAGGTCATAATAATGAAAGGATCTTCTCCAATGTAATAAAAATTATACTGAAATGAAGCACCTCACAAGTTAAAAGGTTCTGGAAGTAAACTGCGCATCCGTTTAGATTTTCGGGTGAGGACTAAGTGAGAACGCCATTACAGTTTGGAAAAATTATAAGGTAAGAGTTTGGAGTTAGTTAGATGTTAGTAGAAGGAAAGTCCACATTTCTTGCATTGAGAAGACTAGGTGGAAAGGACAAAGGGCGAAAGATACAATTTGTGAAATGTAGGGAAAAGTAACACTAGAAATGGGGTTGGTATAATTGCTAATAGTGAAATGAAAGATAGCGTAAGTTGTAAGAACGAGTGATAGAATAATGTCAGTGAAATTTGTACTAGATAAAGAAGTATTGAATATGTCTTTGTATGCTCCTCAAACAGGGCTGGGTGAGAATAAAAGAAAAGCTTTTCCTTTGAATTTAAATGATCAATTAAGAGACATACTGAGTGATATTTCATCAGCGGAAGCAGTCATAATAGGTGATTTTAACGCACATGTGGGCTAACTCAAGACAGGATATGAAGCAATCCATGTAGGACTAGGCTTTGGAACTATAAATGAAGCTGAAGATGATCTGCTTGAATTAACAACAGCATTACATATAGTGATAGTTAACATATCTAGTTAAGAGAAAGAAACTCAACTTACTATGTACAAAAGTGGATAAAATCACTCGCAAATAGATTATTTCACAATAAGAAAAGAATATATATGTGAATGGAAAGATTGAAAGGTAATAGTGAGACAGTAAGTCCACAACTACTTTGCTTGTGCTAGAAATCGAAATAAAATAATAAAACTATAGGAGAGGACCACAAAAAAGCCAGTGGTGGATGGTAAAAATATGAAAAAGAAAGTGTATTCAGAGCAAAAATAGTAGAAAAAATGTGTTGGAATATAAAAGGAAGCCTTAATACAACTTGGAGGAAGATGGCCAGTATCATTAGATACTGCTATTAAAAAGTCAGGAAAAAAATTGAGAATAAAGAAAACTGCTGGTGGTCAAACGAAGTTAAAAAAAGATACAGTGGCAAGAAAATGAGTCCGACACAGACCTTCAAAACTATACGCTCGCCAAAAAGGCAGCGAAAGTAGCAGTTGCAAAAGCTAAAGCAGAAGCATATACACATCTATATGATCACCAGGGAAGGAGAAACAAAGATATACAAAATAACCAAACTTAGAGCAAAGAAACCAGAAGATTTTAATCCAAGATGAAAATAATAAAATACTAGTTCAGAAAAGGATAGAAAAAGTACTTGTTTATCAAATGAAGAATTGGAGAGAAAATCACTTGAGCTAACATAGACAGAAACAGCAGTGGTCACCAAAATAACAGATGAGAAAGTAGATCAAGCACCCCAAAAAATAAAGAAAGGAAAAGCAGTTGGATCAGATGATATTCCTTGGGAAGTGTGGACAGTGTTAGGAGAGACAGGAATAACAGGTATGGCTAACAGGTATATTTAAATAAATATAGAAGTGCATCCGTTCAAAGAAATATGTATACAATTTTATATGGTTCACAATATTCACTGAACAAGGAGCACATGAAATGTGGTAAATTGGTTCAGTATACATTGGTAGAAAACATAATAAATCAGCACTTTTTTAAATCCTAATCACAAGTAATGTAACAAAACCTTTTATCCTACCAATCAATTTTTGTAGTCTGGAGATGTATTTGTCCATTAAGGGTGTTTCTGGACAAACATAATTTTTATGACTAGCATGTTGAGCAAATATTAACAAACTGTTTTTTAAATCCTCTGCCAGAATGTTTATTTTTTAAGGACCCCAACTACTAACTTATCATAAAGAGTCATTACCAATGTTTCCAAGCCTAATCTTTGTTGACCAGCTAAAGACTTCCGTTCCTTAGCAATGAATTTCGTGTATGGGTAACATTTTTTTTGTCATAACACAAGACCAACATAATCTCAGTATCTTGAAAGCTTTGAGTAAAGTACAAAAAAAATTATACTTTTTATTCAATAGCGTATCATCTTCATATTTCCTTTTTATAATTCTTTGAACACAACTACACCAAAATCCAAAAATCTTTTTACACTTCTTTTCTTGAACAGCAAAATCTAAGAGTGTCTTAAAATTACTTTGAAGCCAACATATCAGTTAGTTGTAGCATTCCTTTTTAAGAGATAGTAATACCACAATCAATAATGTTGCAATATAAGAATTTTGTCAAAATTCTTAAAAAATTGAAACTTTTGCCTTTTTTCAAATAAGTTTTGTGTTAAAACTCCTCAGTGTCATGAATATTGTATGTTCGCCATGCTATAATTACTTAGTTGGCAGTTAAAACCATTGTAATCTGTTTTATACTCGTAGTAGCCTTCTCTAATTTGAAAATTTAATTTTTATACAAAAATGATTAAAATATAGTAATAATATATATTTATTGGTAGAAAATCTATATATCTCATCATTACATATAATTAAAAAAAAAACAAAAACAAAATAATAATTATTTTAAACACATTCACATTAATCTTCATGTTTATTAAAGAAGTAATTGAAAAGTTACCCAATTTTAAATAAATTTTAATTATCAAATAAGTAACATCATATGCAAGGGCTATTTTAACATTTAATCATTTAGTTTTTAATATGAGTACTCGAAAACCACTTGTAAATCGAATTAAGATGGTTAAGTATAGTTGCTATAGGAAAATTAGTAAATTCTTCAAAAAGAAACACTGACCTAGTAAATTTATAGTATTAACCTTTTTTGCATATTTTCTGCTACAAACTTGAAGATAATTACAAACTCAACTTTGTACACACCCACAAAAACAAAAAATGGAAAATATTTATTTTTTACTTAATTTTTATAAATTTATTTATATGGATCATTGACTTGTCTTTTCTTTGTAAGATATCACTCCTTTTGCTATTAAATCTGGAATTTCTACAGCTAACCATGGACCAAGCTGAAATAAAGACACTATTTTTAAAAAATCATATAGCAAAATTCGACAAATACAATACAAAATGTTATTACAAAAATTTATAAACTCCTAGTTAATTATCCTTACCCCCAAAGCCATGGCATGACCAATTCCAAATTTAGGCACATTCCTCGCCCATAATGGTTTGAAATGATCACTAAGACATATTTTACCACCTCTATACATCTTAGCAGTCTTGCCGTCAAGTTCTGGAAGGGCTATTTCTGGGGCAGTTGTGGGATATCCGATAGGAATCTAAAACCGAAATATTAAAAAGATAAAAATACTTAAATATAGAGAATATCTGTCTGTTTACTCACATCAAATTCCACATCGAACTCATATTTTAACAGTTCGTGGATAAACCAACACTTTCCGAACCACTTTGTGCCCTCTTTGTTAGATTCTAGCCTAAACCAATCATTATCTGCTGCTTTGTTATTTTGGACATACTAGAAAAACATATGTTAGAAAATGTTCATAAATTAAACAATGATTTTGTTGATTTACTTTAATTAGAGATTGGTATTCTTCCTTTAACCTTTGTATCCATAGTTCTTTATCTCTTGGGCCGGCTTTAGTTTTTAATAATGGGATGTTACTTAATGTTTTCCTGGTACCTTCGTCTACCATTTTAATTTCATTTAGTAGGCATTTAAGAACAAGGTTAGGAAAAAATTATTTACGTTTACGTTGACACTTACAGTGACAGTTAGGTTGATTGACGACAATGGAATTTTCGGGTATGGTCGTAATGCCAGTGCAGTTCGTTTTTATTATTAAAACGAAAATAAATAATAATATTGTAAATTTTTTAATACAATTTTATCTCTGGTTTAGAGCAATAAGGTTAAATCTAACCGATAGATTTACTGTATTATAGTTATGAAAACTTGTATAACGTTTCTTATATAATAGGAGAGAGATTTTTTTGTTTAATAATCATACATTTCATTTAATTATTGATCTACTTTAACTCACGTAATGTATTTTTGCTAATTTTTACATAATATAACAAGTACAGATAATAATTGGACTTATTTACATATATTGTAATTACAGTGTAAACGCAAAATCGTACCTACTGCAAAAAAGAAGAAATTGCAAATTTGCATATTAAAATTAAGTTGGTATTACGAGAAGTAGTGCGTTTGACTTTGTGGCAGTTGTCAACAAAAAACGCTAAACCTAGATAACTGAATATCAAATAATTTTGGCAACTTATACATGAAAGTATCTTTTGACCACTTCAGTTAAATTTTTTAAACAGTCGTAATAACATTTAACGAATTTGCGAGTTAATGTGCGATGACGCCATTTTTACCTCTATCTGTCAAATCTGCTCAAGGTTGGTCTGTCAAACATTTATTTTAGAAGTAAACAATAATATTTATTAAAAATCAAGAATTAGAATCCTTTCTACTCCAGTAAGTACTATTTTGAGTTACAAATTACGTTTCTAGGTTTTTTGTAGGCCTGACCCCTTTAAATCTTTTTAGGTCAAGTACTCATGACCAATATGGGCAATACCAGTGATGATATGGGTTTCCAAAAGGTCAGAATATGAAACGACGTGATAAATAACTCTGGGATCATGCAAGGATCCACAAAGATACCTATAACTGACCTCAATGCCTATATAACTTGCAAAATATGTGATGGTTACTTTGTTGATGCTTGTACAATCATTGAATGTTTGCACACATGTAAGTATTCCTAACATATCAATTTTTCTATCATAAGACCACAAATTCAAGATATTTTTGTAGTATTTGTTAAAAAAAATATCTATTTTTAACTAACTCTGTATTGAATAAATTTTCTTCTCAATTTGGTTTTTACATTTAAAATTCCATTAAAAAATGTGGTCTATTTATATTTATTTCGGAGGCTTTATGTACCATTTTAGTATATTTGTTAATTCATTAAATTGGAATAGTTAAATAACATAACCAATAAATTGACTTCACCAGAAGTAAGAAAGCTTAAGGTGAATATAAAGTATCTCATATAAGAGTAACTAAAAAAATGGTCACATTGCTTAATTTGTTAAATAATTGAAAATTATTAAATACAATAATATAAGATTCAACAATTGTACATAGGAGATTATAAAAACTTTCCAGACAACTGTACAAAAATAAAGTTAAAATGTACAATTTATTCCTTTTTTATTTTTCTTCTGAAAAATTGAGATAACTATTTTATTGTCACTGAAACTCTGTTAGTTTTTATTAGGCTTTCCTAGAGTTCACTTTAAAGAATTTCAAAAAAGTTTCATAATTTTTACTCAAAAAATAAATGGCTATTCTATTAGTTAATGTTGAAAGGTTCATATTTGTGTAATGATGACGACAAAACTAAAAAAAGCAATCTTTTTATTATTTTATAACCATTGTTATAATACTTTTTCAGTAAAATAAGTGTTTGAGTTAATTATGAAAACTATTTTAAAAACATCCATTTCTTTTATGAAGTTTGTTATCTGATCAGGGTTATCCAAAAGAATTATTGCACTATATTCTAGATAATATATTTTTTTTAACAGGAACTTCTGAATCTATATTTATTTAATTCTTAAATTTTTTGTAGTTTGCCGCAGCTGTATTATTAAGTATTTACAAAAGAACAAATACTGTCCAGTTTGCGATGTACAAGTACACAAATCAAAGCCATTACTCAACATCAGACCTGACAAAACTATCCAGGACATTGTCTACAAACTTGTTCCAAGATTATTTCAAAGTAAGTATACCAATTTGTCATATATATTGATAAGCTCGTGTGGAGGATTATAAAGAATAGGTATTTTACTTCTGATAGGTTATACACAGATAATATTAATCTTCACTGTAACTTCATTAACCCTCTAGTAGACTGGTGGGGCCTGTCAGGCCTCACCTATATGAAAGTACAACATAAACTTTGTAATTTTTTATTGATAAAATTGAAACCCTTTATACCTTTTGTACTAATAAAAATATGATTTCTCTGCAAATTAAAAAAAAAGATACATGAAACTTCAAATATACTGCTAATGATCCTCACAGGCCTCATCTGACGAACATGTAGTTATTTTTTTAATAACCTTATGCTCCATCTATATATGCTTGATAGAAAATTACCTCTGTAATTTGCCCAAATTTAGTACAGTATGCTCACATCGTAAAGATTAAACTGCCTTGGCAACTTAGAAAGAATGCAAGTTAATTGAGCTGTAACCAGAGATGGAAACCCCAGCAAATAGGAAAAGAGGAAGGCTCTATAAAAGGTGGATCAACACTGTACAGGATGTTCTTAAAACCATGAACATCAGGCAGTGGCAAAAGAAAGTATCCCAATAGGTCAGAATGGAAAAATGTTGCAGTCCAAGACCCACAAAGGAGATGTAGCACATACACACACTAACAACAAAGTAAATCCCAGCTCCAGGGCACATGATATTCCTTGAGCAAGTTAGGATATAAGCCCATAAACAGCTACAAAATGTGCTGGACATGTTTTGGAAGGGGACCAAAGATATTTTTGTAAATTCTGTATGTATTGGCTGTGTATTGTACATATGACAGACTGAATTTGATTACCAATATTTTTTTTATGGACTTTTTTTAAATATTGTTTTTTGTTAATTATTACAATGTTATTTTTCCTTTAAAATGGAATATTTACTTTTCATTTCATTTCTTATTTTGTTGTGAACTAAAAATAAAAGCAAAGTGGGAAACATTTTGAGTATTTTTGCATGCTTGTTTATTTCTAACAAATCTTGTATTGCAATTATATTAAATCAACAACGCTGCTATTATAGAAATACACAATAGATATATAGTTTAATAAAACCTTATTTCATTTTCTTTGAAATTTTTCATTTTGCCTATCTGCTTAAGGGTTACTGGGAGTGGGTTCTATTCAGTTTTTTGTACATTTGTATTTATTCCCCTATATTTAGTTCTGGTCAAAATGAAGACCAAACTTTCCTGATTTCCAAAGGTACAAAAGTAGTACCAAATATTTGAATTTTTGAGATTTTAATTGTTTGAAAAATAAATTTGTTTCCTATTTCATAATGGCTAATTCCATGCATCATCCAACAACAAAGAATGCACAATGATTGTAATAAACTATTGTAACTAAACTGATTGTAATGTTTTCTTCTATTTTTTACTTCTTTTTAAGAAAGCTTAAAATATTGAGAATAAAAATGTTGAGGTTAATTTTATATCAGTCCTCTTATAAGAAATTGAAGGCAAGGAAGCTTTAGATAAACACAAAAAATAGGTATCTGTACATCAGGACCTAAAATAATTTTGTACAAAAGAAATTTCACAAAGTGGCAAACAAGTGTGAAAGAACAGGAACACCCCAAACAGACAATATGAGGTAAATAAACATGGATAACCTTGACAAATGTAAAATAAACCTGTGTCAAGTGTACAAAATGACAACCTAAAAGCACCTCAATAACACAGTGTGATTGATGTTTACTATTAAAAGAATTATTTAATCTGGAGGTAAAACATTATATTCCTTTAAAAATAGAAATCAGAGCTTAAAATTATTTTGCTATATAAATTCAAATTCCATTATAGTCAAATAACACAGCTAAAACTTATATAAACATTAAGCCATAAAAATTAATGTGCACTTTTTGAGTATAAAATTTCTCTGTTTATATACTTAGCTAATTTGGGGAATATTTTAAGAAATATTTGTTTACATTAAACATAAGTGCATGTGTCATCACTATCAAGGCACAGGACAGACATAATTTATTTTAGGTGTTAGAGTAATTCTACTCAGTAATTGTTTAGCTATGTTGTTATTTTTGTTTATTAAAAAAAAACCTTAACTACTTGACTTATAGTCAAATGCAGCTATTAAATAAAATTTCCTATTATGTAAAGAAGACTGAAGTCAATAAAGATTAAAACTAGGTTTTTTGTTGCTTGAAATGTCACATTTTAGCAATTCCATAATCCAGTATGCCAAAACATCTAATTCCTAAACCCGCCATTTGCAAAAACATAAATTATTCTAGTTTCTTTATTTTGCCAAACATTTAGAAATTTTACACATTAATTCAAAATATTACAGTAAAAAAAGGAGGTATGTCAAGAAAAGTAGTAACAATGTTGATACAAAAATGCATTTGATTTCAGAAAACAAACAATTATTATAAAAATATTCTTCTTCTTCTTCTACTTTTTGTAGATCTTTCGATCTGTTTAATTCTGAAGCTGCCTCTGGTTAATTTCTTGGGAGGTAGATTGCCAACTATCCCTCCATCTTTCAGGTGGTCTTCCGGGGGGTCTTGAACCGGGCGGATTGTTTTCTAGGGCAATTTTTGGGAGTCTATTCTCATCCATTCGTCTTACATGGTTGTACCACATCCTCTTGCGCTGCCTTCCCCATCTTACAATATCTTGAATTTTGCACTGCTCTCTAATGTTTGTATTTCTCGCTCTGTCTCTTCTTGTTTTCACCATTATTGTTCTTAGGGTTTTCATTTCGGCAACCCTTAGCATCTGTTTCGTTTTGTTAGTATCTTCGCGCACTTCTATGCCATATGTCATGATCGGGTGTATGCAAGTCTTATAGATTCTAATTTTACTATCTGTGCGCATATACGGATTTGACCAGACTATCTCCCGCAGACATCCTGACAGTGCAGATGCTTTGTTGATCTGACTCCTCAGGTCCTTTACTGGGTCATGGGTGCTTGATATATCTATGCCCAAATATCTGAATTGCATCACCTGTTCTATGGGGTTGTCCTCAACCACTAACTTACATCTGAGCGGATCTTTTGCTATTGTCATACATTTAGTTTTGTTGGTAGAGATGTTCATATTTAGTAGTTGGCTTGTTTGAAAGAACTGAAAGAGCTGCCTTTGGAGATCATCTTCTGATTCGGCAATAATTGCTGCATCGTCTGCGTAACACACCATACCAATTCTTTTGTTGCCCATTCTATATCCGAGATTAAGAGATGTTACTTTGTTGATAATTTTGCCCATGAGAAGATTAAACAAGAAGGGGCTTAAATTGTCGCCTTGTCTAATTCCTCCCGGTGTTAGATAAAAATATTGTTTATGTAAAAGAACTTAAAAATAGTTTTTTTTTTCAAACAATTTTATAGCGTCTACATGAGATTTGGGTACCATCATCATCAATCAGCCAATCGCGTCCACTGCTGGACATAGGCCTCCCTCAGTTCTTTCCAGTGTTCTCTACACTGGGCCGCTTGTAGCCAGTTTCCCGCTACACGTTTAATGTCATCGGTCCATCTAGTCGGTGGTCGTCCTCGGCTTCTTTTATAATTTCTGGGCCTCCATTCCATAATACGTCTTGTCCACCGTCCATCTTGTGTTCTGGCTAAGTGCCCTGCCCAGTTCCACTTAAGCGTCGTGATTCTTTCGATGACGTCTTGAACTCCTGATCTTCGCCTGATTTGTTGGTTTGTTATGTGGTCTCGAAGGCTCACGTTCAGCATTGCACGTTCCATGGCTCGTTGTGTTACTCTAAGTTTATTCGCAGATTTTTGCGTGAGTGTTAAAGTCTCTGCTCCATAAGTTTGTACAGGTAAAACACATTGGTTATAAACCTTTCGCTTGAGACACATGGGAATTGAACTTTTTAGAATATGGCTTAATTTGGCAAATGCTGCCCATGTTAGACCTATTCGCCTCTGTATTTCATGTGTTTGATTGAGATTTGGGTATAATGGGTCTCTAAATGATTGATGCGGAAGTTCATCAAAATAATGTTGGGCATCTGAACCACAAACATTTTTTAGATGCTGCAGTTCTGCTTATTTCGCTTGACTGATCGGCAGAAGTGCTACAAAAATAACAAAAGTAAGCTTTATAAAACTAATTAATTGGGGGGTTTTACCTGTAGAAGCATATAGAGGTAGCTTAAATTCCATTTCTGGCAATTTGGGGGTAGTCAATCTCTGCTGTGTTATTACTGTGGTCTCCCAAGTTCCACTGAATGTTATTCTGTAGTACAAAAGACGAGAATGATCCCTAACAGCTTTTACCTCGCGGATGGGTCGAGTTAGAAAAGAGCATTTATTTTTATAATGCTTGCATAAATCTTCAGTCCACTTTCGAAAATACTCTTGAGGACATTCTTCAACATGAAACAGTGATGGTTTTCATCTAGCAGTTTTATACACTTCTGTCTTGAAAAAGTTCGGCTTTTGTTTTTTGATTGACAAGTCCAAAATCTTTGTCACATTCCAGGTAGGAATGTTCCCTAACAGGCAAAGTTATTTGGATAGAGTCCAGCCTCTTCTCATGATGAACTATGTTATGAATAAACCGAAGAACAGTGTAGTTTTTATTCTGTCCTCCCTACGAGTCACAGAAAATATTTAAGTTTCATACTTTTGGATCAAGATAGTTGTAGATATAGTGATGAAGCAGTGAACAAACAGCATCCTACCTTTTTTGACAACAGTCTCGGAGTACATATAAAATATGGACTCAGGTGTAGACAAGACATATATATTGATAGAGAATAAACTCAATTGTTTCTTATAGCAAACACCATTAGTATTAATATTGGGTAGTTGCAGATTTTTTGCAAAATCCATGCATATAGCCTCTGTGTGTACTTTTTTGTACTAGCCATTCTCGCAGCTTGTTTTTTGTTGTAAAATGCTTGGGCTTTAAGTTTATGTAGTTTATTTTCTGTATCTAGTTGCTTACTATTTAATTTATTTGTTTCCTCTAAAGATTTCGCTAATAGACACTGCTTCTCAAGACTTTTAATATTTGCTAAATATTCATCACAAGAACTACACACATCGATCCTTGGAAAACCAAAGGAAATATTAAATTTAGTTGAAAAAATACTTCTATATGTTTCGTATGAAGTATGCATGTCTGGAAATTTTTCCACATACATTGTTAATTTTTGTTAATATTTAAATCCTCAGATTTCGATGAGTCTTTCAAACTATAATGACTTTTTCTGCCTCTAAAAAACCCCATATGCTGCATTATACAGTTTTTCCATAGAACTTGATGAAGATTGTTTCCATGTCTTTCTCTAGTATCTTTTGGAGCGTGACCTGTCAATTTTAGTGACTTTTGTAGAACTTCTAACTTTTTTCTCCCAATTTCATTGAATGCCAAAAAGGCCTTCTGACATACTGGAACTTCTTGTGTTTCGTCATTTACATTATAACGGATTCTATAACTAAAGGCGGCTTCATGAAGACATGCAGAGCCCTCGGATACCTGTGGCCTTCGTTGCTGTACAGTTTGTACAGTAATTAATCCGTATAAGTATATATTTTGGCATGTATCGACTCCATGAGGTTGAATTTTGTAATAATTTAAATTCTTGCTTGTTCCGGTATTTGTAGAAAACACTTAAACCTAACGCACTTACAATCCTATCCTATTACATGGCTTTGTCTATCTAATTTTTTATTTACTTCATAAATTCGTCCATATTTTCTGTTTCTTTGCATTATTTTCTCATGTGTCCATAATATCACATTTCATAAATTCGTCACTATCTCTAGACATATTTACAACTTGATAACTCTCCTTTCAGGTTCAGTAAACAAACATACATAATCTCTAAACATTTCTGAACCATGTACAAACTAAATGTATTAACCGCTTCGTCGGCGTCAGTCACATTGACATCCATCCTTTTTTCCCTGTAGCGCTAGGATATGCCTCCTTTTTTACTCTGTATAACAAATATAAAAATATGTGTTACATCCTGACTAACCTCTTCATCAATGTGAATTTTTTACATGAAATAGTATCCAGTTTGTGCCACTATATGGTCTAATTATCTCATTTTAGCCCATTATTTGACATACCTCAATTTACATCCCTGTACCCTTCTGTATCCTTCCCTGTACCCTTCAAATGAAGAAAACTGATTTTTTTATTAAGCCTGCCGAAAAAAATTTCATAATTAACCATAGGCTATCTATCAGATAATGTATCAAACTGAAACTTGTTATTTTGGATTTACTTAGCTCAGTTAATAATAAAAATTAAATATGTTTTCAATGAGGACAGTTTTGGAACTTAGACATTTTTGAAATTCATTCCCCTGAACATGCCTGTTTTTTCGACAAACTAGCTCCAACCATTATTTCAGGTCACTTTGAACATAGATACAGTTTGTTAGGTACATGCGTTTCATGTCTAACTTGATATATGCCTGAAATTTTAGTTCATAATTGTTTAAACATCAATAAAACCAGAATTAGTTTTTTATATAATATTTTTATAAAAGAATAAATCGAACAAAAAATAAAATTAAATCTTATAACATATTTTCAAAAACGAAGAAAAACTGAAAACTACTATTTACACATGCATTATTTTTCGTCAATATTATCCAATGCCATCTCTTGGGTACAACATCTCACACTATCATTATGCACAGAGTGTTCAGACTGGTTACCTCTCTGGTTTTTCTTCTAATTGCTCTCGTTTCTCTTTCTTTTAATTGTTAAATGCACTTCTTGTGGAATTAATGAATTCATAAGTGAATTTATAAGTTTATTTATGTAGATAAAAGTTAAAAAAGAATTAAGTAAAATTATTGAAAATTATCTACACAGCCTATCTTTTAGTCCAGTACCTACCCTTAATCCAGTTTAAGTATGGTAAATGGCCGCTTTGGAACATTTTTCATGTATCAGAAGTTTGTTTTTAGAATTTTTAACTTTTTTAAATTTTTTAATAATTTTTTAATTTCTTTCAGATTATTTCTGCTTTTTCTTGATGTTCCAGGATAATCCTGGAGAATTAAGTAATGACTTATTTTTACTTGTTTTTAGATGAAATGCAAAGGAGGAGGGACTTCTATGACAGTCACCCGGAAGCAAAGCCTTCAAGTTTGGAGCAATGTGGAGAAGCATCTTACCAGCATTTGTTAACTCCAGAAGAAACTATCTGCCTTACCCTCAGTTACCATGGAGCTGACAACAACCCTAGGTATATATGGCTTGTACTATAGTTTGTTATACAAGAATATAGTCAAACTGTTAGGTAGTTATATTTATTTGTTTCTCTTCTTGTGTTTTCCAGATATCTGCGTTGCCCAGCTGCTGTTACGATGGGCCACCTAAAGAAACTAATCAGGGCGAAATATGATCTTTCAGAAAACCACAGAATCGATATACTTTACAATCAAGATTGCCTTAGCTCTTCCCTAACTTTAATGGATGTAGCATATATTTATTTATGGAAAAGGGTAAGAAAAACTACTTATTTTAATTTTTCTATTAAACCTGAAGCTCCATTTTTTAATAAGAGTACTGAAATAAGAAGACAAGACGTATATGGTAAGGTTTTAATCAACATAAAATTGTATATAAACCAAACAAAAATAATAGAAGAATAACTTGACACTGACACTGACTTCTGACAAACACTGACAGGATAAAGTACAATATTTAAAGTCTATAGCTAATGCAATATCACAAAGAGGTTAATATCGTATCATGCTCCCACACTAGTCTTAAAAATACCGTGGTAAATGACAATCTCTTTCAGATATTCTAGGAGCTCCCAAGGAGGCGATGAGCTTCGCTGAGAACACAGTGGGGTCCTTTAAGAAGTAATGAATCCGACGGAAGGGAAGATATAGACGTATCTGCCTGGGGCTGCACGTTTGCGTGGCTGTATAACTGTATGAGGAATCATTGAGGCTCAAATGTAACTTGGGTCCTCTACCAACACTGATTCTTGACTTGGTATATCTAGTATTTCTCCTTTACCTCATCCAATTGGAGCTAGATGATGATTAGACATTGGTCTCCCGTCTGTCCTTCAGTTTAATAAAAGAGTACTCAGGATTTGCCTCTATTACCCCCACTTCTTCTACTGTAGGCTGTTACTTGTTTTTAAATCGGTCTTTTTCATCAAGACATGCTCTGATTCTGCTAGCCATTACGGTATTCTATTACCATTTGGAGATCGAAGTGTGTGCACGAACATTGTTTCATGACACTTACTTTTAGTTGTAATACATAACAATTAATGAATGGAATGCAGCACAACTGGTAGTTAATGTTCTCTCTCAAGTCTCAATAAGTGCCTTATGTTATTCACAGGCCAGCTATTAGCTTTCCAGACAGTAAAATTCAACTTACTACTTGACCATTTCCTTGAGGACATCGCAACATGAGGATTTCGCAACAAGTAGTAATTATACTTGTTGCGATTCCTCTGGTGTTGAGAAACTCTTTGACTTCCGCCGATAGAAATTGAGTCGCTCTATTCGAATGGAAATATACAGGCATTTCAGCATCATGATTAAGTTATTTAAAATTGAATAATTTATAATCTGGAATACTCGATTGCTGTAAGAATTTAACGATTATTGGTATGCTAAGGCACTGGTTCTTTAAAGTCGATACTAAGGCGTCTTATTTTTGTTTAGAGTCATATTTTCTGTGGCTTTCAGACAGTTTTCAAGATTTTTGTCATGTTCTACCTTCGTCTTACTACAAACTGTTATGTCTTCAAGGTAGGCATATTATGTCCGTTCGAGATTTGGTTCGAGATTTCGAGATCTATGCATATGAGACAGTCAATTGTTCTTTGAAAACTGGCTACACCATTGGTAACACCAAATGGAATACTACGAAAGTGGTACAGTTTCTCAGTGGCTTCAAAGACGGTGTAAAGCTTTTTATGTGGAAGTACAGGAATCTGATGGTATGCATCTATTTCACTTACGTCATCACTCTCAGATTCTTCTTTTCTCTTTCGGCAAGTAGGGGATTTTATTGTTTTCTTACTTATCATAAAAGCAGATATTCCTTTCTTTCCTTTGTCCCTAATCTTATGTATTCCCGTTGCTGTCTGTTTCCATCTTTTGCAAGCAGCAGGACTGCGGAAGGAGTTATTTCCACCTCAATATTTCAGAGAAATCACATGTCAATCCTGTCTTTTCGATAATATCATTATGTGTTATGTTACAATTTAATATGATTTTATTATGTTACAATTTAATTTACTATTAAATTCATTATCCGTTAAAATGACCACAAGCTCTTGTACTTTTTTTAGATCTACTAAAAGTCTACCTGAATTAGCTATTTCTGTAGTAAACTTGAACACATTAAAAATAATTTAATTCCAAAATGTATTGCACTTTCCATTTTAATATTTAAATACTTGACAACGCTGCAGTCAATTTAACGTTAGGAACTCGATCTCTTCCACGTGACGGTCAGAGAAGAAATGAATTATGTAATAATAGCAAATTTGGTAAATGCGCAACAAGCCACTTCTCTCTTGTCGTACTGTACTTTATTTTAATGAAAACTTGTAATTTGTATTTACTTTTAGAAAGGACCAATAGAACTCACATACAGAATATACGAAAACACGTCTAAAAAATTAAAATTGGACGTCCAAGAACATCAAGAGCAACAAGAAACAAATCTAGCCAACAATAACAACAATAACATCAGTAATAACAACAATTGGAAGGAGGTACAGTTGAGGATAAGCGAGAATGGCGAGATGTCGATAACAGGCATTCAGGACGCAGCTCTAAGTCCCAGCCTGTTGGAAATTGTAAATACAGAACCAAAGTACAAAAGTGATGCGTCAGTGATTGAGTCAAAACCAGTTGGCAATCAAGTGCCATGCAAGAAGGAACTTCCCGGATTGAAGTTTATAGGAAAAGGTAAGTCGTTTTATTTCAGTTTTTACAACTCAAAATAATCAGTATGGTATTTATTTATACGTATGAGAAAATGGTGGTTTTATTAAGTGAGATTTAAATCCAATGTATAATATGACATTTCTTATTTTTCTGTGGATGACAGTTGCACAAGAACTAGGGCTGGGTGTAGTATGTTAGATATTGTAATAATATTGGGTTAAAATGTCGTTTATAGTTCCTGAAGTTTGTATTATGACCCTAAGATTTACTATATATTCATTATTACAATTCCTTTAAATTATGCAATAATGAAAGCATTTATTATTTAAATGTTTATTTTTCATTTTTTTTTTTCATTTTTCATTTTTTCATTTTCATTTTTAAATTAGTATATATTTCAGTTATCGATGTTTTCTTACAATAAATTGTTATTTGAGATTATTTATTGATATTTTGTTTGTTTCAGTAAATACAACATGTACAAACATTATAAATAGTACAACAGGAGCACTTCCCATAGACAATCTCACCAATATTTACACCGCAGACAGCATACCGACTTACTTGAATCCGATAATAAGTACTGCTGTAAATTCCATAACTTTACCATCGTTGAATGAACACAGCATAGTATCCCTCCCATCTCCTTCCAGCAATTGCGCTACTTTATCTTCTGGAGGTACTACAATGGTATTTAGTACCATCAACTCTACTAAATGCAGCACCAAAACTGAAGACAGTTTGTTGAAAGTGGCTAAACCTGATATCGTTGAGACAAATGCAGAAAAAATTAATACAGAAGTAGAGAAGTCACTAAAAAGGAAGATAGAATTAAATGTTGAAGTAGAACCTCCTTCAAAACAGTCTAAACCTATCATTTTGAATCATAATATGGGTTTGATGAACTTATCCAACAATCATCCCTTAAAGAAACATTCTAAACTAAATAGAAACGGTGAACATGTACGAGATCTTCCCAAAACTACCGAATTTGAATCTAAAACTGTAAATTCAACTTTGCTCACGACTACAGGGTACAACACATCAGAGATTCCAGCTAAAAAAGAACCAGAAGTGCTCAAGAGCAGCATTGTCAATAGGAGTAGTCCAAGACCCGGAACTCCCACAACAACCAAACCACTTGCCATGAGAGCTAAGACGTTAATTAGCGAATCTGGTGTCAAACCTCCCTGTTACCAACCTAGGAGTGCCTATGGACCTTTGTTTAATGTACCCAGGCCCGTAAATACTGCAGTCACAACTTCGACTACTTCAAACATGTAAGTTTTCTTATTCTGTTAAAGGTTACTTTCAGTAATCTAAATAGATGTAATGTATTAGAATTTTGAACATCTTTATTTGGGAATTTATTAACCCATTAGCGCCCACGATATCTGATTTTAAGAATTAATTTATTTTGCATTCAGTATTTATTAGTAATATTATTTGAACAATATTTAAAAAAAAAGAATTACTTAGATATAGATATGTACCCAAATGAGTACACTGTGCACTACAGCGTCTTAATAAATAATGTAACAGAAAAAATTAATTTAAATGAAGTTTTAAAACAGTCCCCCCCTCTTTCTCTCTCTCTCTCTCTCTTTCTTTCTCTCTCTCTCTCTCTCTCTCTCTTTCTTTCTTTCTCTCTCTCTCTCTCTCTCTCTCTCTCTCTCTCTTTCTCTCTCTCAATACAAAGAGTTATATTACACTTTTTACAACTCCATCTGGCTATTTGATGACACCGAGCACACCTTAATTGTTTAATAAGTTTTTTGGGAAAGTGTCCTTCATATTTCCTAACAGCAGGCAGAATTTTTCCGGAAGGTCTAGATTTCATATACAGTGATTTGGCATTACAACCTAAATAATGTCGTACATCATCTTCATTCTGGCTTTACAACCCTGCGTGGGTCCTAGCCTCCTCAAGAATTTCTCTCCAGCCGTCCCTATCCATCGCCTTCCTCCGCCAAGCATGTATTCCCATATTTCTCATATCTTCATCGATGTTATCAAGGAACCTTGTTCTGGATCTTCCTCTTCTTCTCTGGCCAATGGATCTATCAAGGACCGTTTTTCTAGCTGGGTCATTTTGTTCTATCCGCATTACTTGCCCTATCCACCTCAGACGTACTATCTTAATTTGTTTTACGTTACCAGGTTCCTGGTATATTCTATAAAGTTCGAAGTTTGATCATCTTCTCCACACTCCATTATCATTCACCGAAACATCCTAACATGTTTTCATGATTTTTTGTTAGAGTCCAGATCTCTGAACCATATGTTAGCACTGGGCGTATTATTGTTTTGTAGAGTTTTATTTTTGTATTTCTCGATATAATTGTGGATTTAAGGAGGAGATTGGGCCCAAAATAGCGTCTGTTAGCCGTGCAAATTCTGCTGTTTACCTCTGCGGTAGTATTATTTTCAGTTTTAAGGAGCGCTCCCAGTTATACAAATTCATTCACTGCTTCGATGACGTCGTTTTCTATAACAAGTGGTCGTCGTATTTGTGGTTGCGTGCTTATTTTCATATACTTCGTTTTGTTGGTGTTTTAATATGCTTCATTTTATTATTAAACCCATTTTTGTAGCTGATTCTTTTATTGCTACATACACCTTTGTTACAGCTTTTTCTGTTCTCCCAACAATATTGATATCATCAGCATATGCCAGGATTTGCACTGATTTATTATTATATTGAATCACTGGTTGTGATTTGTGACGTACGTATTACTTTTTCCAGAGCTAGATTGAATAGTATACAGGAGAGATTCTCCCTTGCGCAGCCCTTTATTCATTTTAAAAGGTTCAGACAGTTCCTGCTGAATTTGTACTCAACATTCAACTTTTTCAAGAATTAATTTTCCCGTGTTTTATAGCGTTCTCCGCCTTCCGGTTCCCAGTTTCCAGCTACGTCGGTCATTCCATTCGCCAGGGTGAAGGTTTCTTTCCGACATTGCCTTCTGAATGCCGCCCAGCCAGGATTGTTTTGGCCTTCCTCTCTTCCTTCTTTCCCTTGGCGTCCATTTTAAAATTTGGTTTGGCAGCCTGTCGTCGTCCATTCTTTTCACATGACCATACCAGATCAGTTGTCTCCTTTGAATTTCGTCAATGATGGTTGACTTGACTCCCATTATATTTCTGATATGGTCATTTTGTATTCTATCAAGCCTTGATTTTCTAGCTGATCTTCTCCAGAAGTCCATTTCCAATGCAAGTAGGCGTCGCTCAAGGGATTTAGTAAGTTGCCATGTTTTGCATCCATAGAGCACTATACTTTTAAAGATGGAGTTAAAGAGGAGATGCTTTCTTTGATTTGATAGTTCTTTTGACCATAGCATCGGGTTTAGGCATCCTATCACCCTTTTTCCTTTCACGATTCTTTGCTCTATCTCTTTTTCGGTGCGCCCACTCTTGTTGATTGTTGTTCCCAAATATATATATTCCTCACAGTTCTTGATTGTTTCATGTTCGTTGACCATTAGATCTTCTACTTCATTCCCGATGCATAAGTATTGCGTTTTGTTTCTATTTACAGAGAGGCCCCATTCTTCATATGTTTTAAACAACCGTCTCGTCATGAATTCTAAATCTTCCTTGTCTGCTGCCACTACTACTTGGTCGTCCTCAAAATGTAGAGTGTATAATGTTGTATCGTCGTCAAGTTGGATCCCCATTCCTGAACAGGATCTTCTCCAGTGTTTTAGTGCTTCATTTAAATAGATCTTAAATAGTATTGGAGAGAGGCAGCATCCATGTCGTAAGCCTTTTGTTACTGGAAATTCTTCTGATAAGGTGTTGTTTAGTTTGATTTTTGATGATGCTTTATTGTATAATTGTTTGACTGCGGCGATGATCGTGCTAATTAATGGAGATCGTGCAAGAGACTACCACAGCTTTCTCACAGGAATCGTGTCATACGCTTTTGCGAGATCTACAAATAAAAGATGTATTTCCTGGTTTCTTGCAACTTTCTTTTCATTCAGTTGTATTGGGGTAAATATGTGGTCTACGCAAGATCTTCCAGCTCTAAATCCTGCTTGCTGTTCAATTTCATGAGGTTTTTTACCAAACAGCCTGCTAAAGGTACTGGTGACAGAGATACATCTGTAGTTTCCGCAAATATCTTTTGGACCTTTTTTGTGAATTGGAGTAATCCATGCTTCTTTTCAACTATTCGGGATTTCTTCCCCATTTAAGTATCTTGTGAATAGCACTTTAAGATAGCTTATTAGTTTTGGTGTTCCGTTTTTTAGAAGTTCTGCATATTCACCTTGTACTCGTATTCGTTGAGGTGAGTCAGTATTATAAATATCTCTGTCTTCATTCAGTTCCCTTGCGTAATGATCTTTCCATGTATCTATCTGGATGGGCTGTATTCGACTTTTATTTGATGTGTCGGTTTTCAGGGTTTTTATTAATTTCCATGCCGCTGATCATCGCGCTAGTCCGATGTAACAGTCAATTTCTTTACATTTTGCATGCCAGGTTTCATTTTTGTTGTTCCTTGTCATATCTTTCAATATTCTTTGCTGTTCTTTGTATATTTCTTTATCTTCAAGATTCTTAGTGTTCAGCCATCTTTTGTACGCTTCCTGTTTCTTATTTCTTTGCTCTTCAAGCTGTGTATTCCAAGTGATTTTTCCCGCTGATCTGTGGACTGTTCTGGTTTCTTCGCCTAGAGCTTCTTGGGCTGCGTGGTGAATACAGTCAGTTATATGTTCGTATAGTTGGTTGGTTTCAGCAGTTAGGTATTCCTCGAGTAGTTTTTCATTTAATCTATTTTGGTATAAGATTTTAGTGCTATATTCTTGTAGGCTTCTGACATTATATCTCTTCAGATTTATATCAGTTCCTTTTGGAGTGTTGAATGCTTTTCAACGTGTCAGTTAAATGGAATCAGAGTCTTAGCCGTAATCAAATAATGGTCAGATCCACATTCCTTGCCCCTGTAAGCCCTAGTGTCCTGGATGTTTAATTTAGTGTTTTGTTTTGTAATGACATTGTCGATAATAGATTTTATATTTCTAGTGTCTTGGTGCCAAGTGTATTTATGTATATCTCTATGTTTGAAATAACCGTTCCATATTCTTAGCTGGTGTTGTTGGCATAATTCAATTAGTCGTCTACCATTATCATTTTCAGCCTCTTCACCATATCTTCCGATTACAGGATCTTTCTCCCTTTTTCCTACTCTCGAGTTAAAATCCCCCAGAAGTATTATTTCTCTCTGGTTTCCCACTTTTATAAGGGTTTCGTTTTGTAGGTCATACAATTGATCTTTTTCTGCTAGATTTTCGTCATCGTTTACACCATATATTCCTATAATTGTTAATTTATGTTCTTTTATCGTAATATTTACTGAGGCTAGTCTCTCATTTATTGTTTCCCAGCTAAAATTACCAACTGATTTGGTATTTCTAGCTCTTTCATTGTTTTGAACATTTCTCTTTTATTCACAGACTCGTAGGCTTATAAATATGTGATGAGTATCAATGTCATATTCCAATGTTTTTTCCAACATTTGTTTCAGGGTTGCAATATGATGAATTGTCGATTTACCACCTCTGAAACCAGCCTGGTATTTTCCTACTATCCGTTCTGCATATGCTGCCATACAGTGACATAGTACTGTGAAAAATATTTTATAAGCTGCATTTAGAAGCGTAATTACTATGTGGTTAGAGCATTCAAAGATATCACCTTTTTTGTGTATGATGAAAAGCAAAGTATTCCAATATTCCAGTAATTGGAGAGGGATTTCTGTGTAGAAATTTGTTTTATAAGTTGCTGTAATGCCATTGAGGTATCATGGCCACCTTCTTTATATAGTTCAGCTGAAAAGATTATCTATCACAGGTGATTTGTTTGTGGCTAGTTTTTTAACTGCATCTTTAACTTCAAGAATCGTTGATGGTTCCTCTACACTCTCGTCTGTTCCCCTTATCTCGTCGTCATATAATGTACAAATACTCTGAAAATCAAGAAGACTAATTTGTTCATCTTTAGCCAGCTGATACAATCTAGAACTATTTACAACAGTCATGTTTATACGTTTAGTAAAACGCACCCACCACCATTTCTTCCCTCTTATTTCGATCCGGTAACTGTTTAGTTGCTGATCATGTAAGTTTAAATCACCCATGGACTTACTATAATTTTTATATAAAGCAGGTTGAGAAACTTCCACTTTGGCCTTAGCAGCAGTTGACTTACTTGTACTACTGATTCCATAAAGTCCTAATTTGTAGCCATAGTCACTATGTTATTATTGTTCCATCTTATACCTTGAGCTTTGTTATATTGATGTTCAAAATAACCTCTGTCTTGTTTTTTCAATTGTTTAGCATTTGATGGTTTCGACCGTTACTTGATGGAAATTCATTTTATGTAACAATAAAACACTGAAAACTTTGTTTTCAAACTTCCACAAAATTTATTTTAAATCTTATCACTACAGCTGTTTCGGCTGATTGCCTTTCTCAAGTGATCTATTTTTGTAAACCCAAGCTATTTTTGTTTTTTTGTAAACCCAAGCCAAAAATAGATCTCTTGAGAAAGGCAATCAGCCGAAACAGCTGTGGTGATAAGATTTAAAATAAATTTTGTGGAAGTTTGAAAACAAAGTTTTCAGTGTTTTATTGTTACATGTTTAGCATTTAATAGGGGACATTTGTTGTTCTGTTGTCTCTTAAAGTTACAGTAGCTCTAATTCTTATTCTTTTTAGTTTCTCCAACAGATCGTAACTTTTTTTGTAGCAGAATCTAGTAGGTTTACTTTTTATAAATTGTTTACTGGTATGTCTCTCAAAAAATTTAACCATATTCATGAAACATACCCCACTGTCTGTAATTCTCATTCAGTTGTGTTAGCAGAGGTCGAACTTTTATCAAGTGCTGGTAATGCTGTGTTGTCGGCAAGGTAAATGTAATGCTTTATATCTAGAAATCTATTTTTAAACTTCTTCTTCTTCTTCTTTTGCCCTTTAATTCGTCCAATTTTGAACATAGGCTTCCCCCAGTTTCCTCCATTCGCTTCTGTTTTGTGCTTTCTGTTTCCAGTGTATTCCTCCTATCTTTCTAATGTCATCTCCCCATCTCATCTGGGGTCGTCCTCTTGCTCTCTTTCCTGTCCATGGTCTCCAATGTTGTATCGTGTTGTTCCACCTATTGTCTATTTTTAAACATAGATGCACAAACAAACGGCTTCTTCGGAAATACTCCAGTATATTATTTCACTGGGTAGTTGGTGATATTCTGTAAGTAATAGTACACCTAAAAATGTTTGTATATCTGCCTTGGATACAAAGAAACTATGGTTGTTGCATTGAGAAGAATATAAATTAGTTTGGGTAATATTTTTTCAAATAATAAACACTTTTGTTCTTGTAATCTTTTTAACCGCAGTGCCAAAGGTACATCCTGTAACTACATCTTCATCCTCATGTGAAGAGCAAAGAATTTCAATTTTTCCTACAACGTCTTTGGGTAGTGTCAAATTTCGCTCTATAAGATTATCATCCTCAATGTCTTCCTAAACAGTTAGCACATCTGGGTCTGGATGAATAATATTTAATATTCACCTCATTGCGCGAATTAGAAGCACGAATATCTTCTAAAGCTGAAGGTAATATCGTATTTTTTTCCATAGAAATTTCGAACACTAATACGGTCAAAATCATCTACAGATGCAATATCTCCAACAAAATTGTCAAATATCAAAAATTTTCCCATATGCCCATTGTACTCATATGCGTACACCTAATTTTAACAACAAATAAATCACGTTGTAATTAAAATTCTGAAAAATTAATCACTTAATCCCTTTAATAAACTTATTATAAACTTACGTAAACCAGTTGATGGCAAAAAGAAATAACTCGGATAAACTTACTGCAAATTTACAAAGTCGATGCCGAGAAAATAAGAAACGCACGTGTTGACTTCATAAACATTAAATCAAAACTAACAAACCAGCTGAATCATTCAACGAAATCTGTTAAGGTTGTCGCCTTACAGGTATGTCGTTTCCTGTAATTCTTAAGAATTGCAACTATTTTATTGTATGTAGATGACACTAGTATGTCAAAATAGCAGCTGTACTTAATTGAGTTCAGTGGGCGCTAATGGGTTAATGCATGCAATTTTTGAAATATGTCGAATATAAGAGGATATTTTTTATTTAATAAGCACAACTCTTAAGTTTAAATTTTAATATCACTTATTATCATATGATCAGTAACTTACTATATATTTTATTTCAGCTCCACTAAAAGCGATACTCAAACTTTACAGTCAGGTGCGACAAAAATTCCTTCACAAAAGCCTGATAAATCAAATCCCACTCCTCCACCGGAACCATCACAATCCAGTATTAATCACAAAATTCCAAATATAACTTCTCCCCAACAGTCCCAATCAAATAAAACTGCAGTACCACCAGTTGTCAGTCACCAACAGCAGATACAGTCTACAAATACCACTACAAATAAACTTCCAAGTATTAATACATCTCAGCAAAACCAATCTGATTCGAACAGCACCAATAAAGTATTAAATATTAATATTCTTCAATCATATACAATACAGGTAAGTTTCTGTAGCTCTTAGTATGGTACATTCCAGTGTTAACACATTTTGTTGTTGTTTTATGATTATTAATGTTCTTTAGGGTCCTCAGAACAAAATAACTATTAGTCCATCCCAGCCATCATCACAACCACAAATACAACACACTCCTGTCCAAAGTGTTACCAGTTCCAGCACTAAAACAACTATCACACCAACATCCAGTTCCCCTCAACAGTCAAATCAGAGTACTGTCAACAAAATATCGAATCCGCCGATAAAATCCAAACCTAGTACACCGATAGGATATAAAACGTTACGGGATCCCCCGAAGAGTTGGAACTCTCAAATTTCCAAAGCGAACCTGACTAAATCTAGTCCAGAAGCAAAATATTCTGATTTGAAAAACGTCAGGCCTGCTAAGTTCTTCAAGATGAGGAACAATATGCCGAGATATTTGGGTGAGTATTCAACTGGTTTTTGATTATACATTTGATTCTACGACAAACTCCATCAGATGGACCAATGATATTAATTAAGTAGAAAACTGGTTACTCGCATTCTAGGATAGGGAATAAACTAAGGGAAACTGGGGGAAACCTATGTGCAGCAGAGTCAGTTCTGTTTTATCACACTTTTATTATATTTACGTTAATTTTCATCCATTTTGGCATCTAAATCTTAATATTTTCAAATATTCTTTTACTTTTAGGCAACCCAGCATCTGGAGTCAAGCCGATGTACCAAGTTCACGGTAGTCCTGAAAAGGAAAAAGCTCCAGACGCAAAGTCAGACAAGATGGAAATAAGAAAACATTCCATCGTTAAAATTGATCCGAAAACTCTGAAACCAGTGTCTGAAAAAGCCCCGGAAACAACAAGTCTCAGCAATCACACCACTGTCCACCAAAACATGGCTCCTCAAAATTTAAACAGCCATATTTCGAGCCCTATGTATCCTACCCAGTGCCTAAATAACAGTCCAAGTGTTACGAATAGTGGTGGTATGAATCTACAGAATGATTTGAAGATAAATACAAGTTCAGTATCGATTTTCAACCCGCTCAAACTGCAAAGTTCTCCTAAAAACGAGAGGAGATCACCCAAAAGTCCTCATTCTCCAAAATTAAAAACCAGTACAAGTTCTCCGACGGGAAACAAAAGAGATAAGGTAAAGCAAATAAATTAGGTAATTTTGATAGAAAATATCATCAAACTTGTGCCAGATCCAAAAACGCGTTTGAAATGAAAAATTGTGTTAAAATTTGTGTCTATACCCAGGTACCTGGATATCCTTGGGAATTGTTTTATGTAAATCATTACGATAGTATAAATATTTTTATTCCAAATAAAGTAGTTATTCCCAAAATTATTTAGAATGACATTTATAATAAAAACCAAAGAAAACAATGCATATAATATATTAAAAATACATGTCAAAGTTTTAACATCATTACGTCTACACCGGTGGCACCTGGGTAACACTAATGTTTAGTAAATCATGAAGCTAAGTGTCTATTTTTTTATAATATAATGTAGAGTATGATATAGAAACATATAAATAAAAGTTACATTTCAAACACATTGTCCGCACTTACTTATATTTACTGAGTGCTCGTTACATAGTGGACGATTACAAGCATATGATTTTCGTGTCTTTCTTAGCCGCTTTTTCGCTAAAGACATGCAAATGTAGCAATTTACAACAATTTTAAGGCGTCCAGTGGAATCTCGAAGAGGTAATGACTCTGATGTATTATTTGAATCTGTGGGTAGAGGTCTTCCTAACATTCACTCAATTCCTGTCCTTGATGAAAAATTTCTATATACTTTTGATAGTTTAGATCTTCAGAAATTGCAGGCATCACTAATAGTTTTTCTAAGTTTTGCAGAAAAGTTCCACGGTTACTGAGGATTATTCTATTTATAAATTATAAAGGTTGTTAGGCAAGCTACGTCTAGGATATTGTAAAGAAGGCTACTGGCCAACGCAAAGTTCTACTTTTAGTGTAATAATGAGAAACCATTTTGTCCAAATTCAATAGTCAGGGTATCGCTTTAAAATAATAGACTCAGGAGGGGCACGGAACGAGAGACGAGTGTAGCTCAATGGTGGCGTGAACATTTTTAAAATAAGGGAAATTATTGTGAGGACTAATTCGAAGGTAACCCTTTACATTAGACTTCTTTAAACAGTCTGATATTGGAATAATGATCTTATGTACCTATTGATGTTTTTAAAATAAAATTCATATTCAAATATAAATACCAACTGATTTACAGAAAATAATATTAATAATAGGCCCGGCAGCCTAATGTAAACCTTAATTTTGAGAAACAAATTTGCCACAATAATCATATAAAGTTATTAGATAAGTATTTCCAGTATCATAACCTCGTAGGACGAAGGATCTCACAGGTACATTCCAAATGACAAAATAACAACAGCAACAAAAAACAAATTCACTAGAACTTTATGATGGAGTAATAATAATGGGCTCGATAAGAACATCAACATGCGTCTCTACGTCCCACATTTTATCTTCTTCTTTCTGCGCATGTTTAATGCATGACTGCTATTTGGAAGCGGTTATATTTTGTATGGTTTGTTCTAATAATAATTTGACATCTTTTAATTTGAAGGTTATGTTTTTTTTGCTCTTTCTTATTTTTTATATGTGCCATATTATCAGTTCGATAGGTGCATTGTTCATTATAATTACCGATCTAGGTTCTACAAAAGTCAGTATAGAGGAAAACCACTTTTCAAACACATCCGAATTCATATCCACATGATAATCGCCCGTTTTGATAGAGGTAAAGACATTTAACCCACCTTGTAAGAAACCTTAATCAATTCCTATGTGCATAAAAATAAGGCATCTTCCTTTGTCCGAAGGTGATTTTAAGCCGGGTGAAAGTCCCTCATTAAAAGCCTGTCGTGAACTTTTAAGATTTAAGTCTTGCCATACTTAGAATTTCGTATGACCATCATTCAACCAAGTCTCCTCCATATAATAAATTTTACGTCCCAAGACATTTAAAATCACGAATTTTTTGTAAATATTGTTTCCGTCATATCACTAGTTCCTCTCTCTCGATTAATGAACTTTTCCGACTTCTCTTTATATACCGAAAATCCATTTCACATTATATCCTTGTAATATCCGCATGGTTATCTTATTTAAAGTATCATCTGCGTCTGCATTAGTTTCTCGTTGTATAGCATTATTTAACGTGGGCATTTCGTTCATAAAATAAAATCCATGAACTTTTCTTCGGATTATAATTTTGAGTATGAGGTAATTACAATTTTGCCAATTAAGATGGCAACTGCTTCACCGGAAGCCTGAAGTTACACAAATCATTATGTTTTCCTGGTGAAAAATTCACTTGAAAGTCCTCAAACTTGTAAATAAAAGTTCTTAGAAGCAAAAATCGGGAAACCTACAACAGTCTTCTTCTTCATGTACCATGTCCTTTCAGAACGTTGGTTACCATCATAGCTATTTTAATTTTATTCACTGCCACCCTAAATAGCATGCTTGTATCTACACCATACCAGTCTCGCAAGTTCTTCAACCATGAGGTTCTTCTTCGTCCTGGACTGCGTTTGCCTGCTATTTTTCCGTGCATGATGTTTTGTAGCAATCTATATTTGGGACCTCTCATTACATGTCCGAAATATTCCAGCTTTCTCTGCTTGATGCTTTTTATGATCTCAGTAGTCTTGCAGAGACATTCTAGTATTGTGGAGTTACGAATCTTCTCCACCCAGGAAACTTTTAAAATTCTTCTATAGCACCACATTTCGAAAGCCTCAAGGCGATTTAGATCGATTTTATTCACAGTCCAGGACTCGACAGCATAAAGTAAGACCGAGAACACGTAGCAGCGAAGTAGGCGGATCCTTAATGCCAATTTTAGGTCTCTGTTACATAACACCTTGGACATCCTTCTAAAAACAGCTCTAGCCTGCTCTATTCTGGATCTAATTTCGCCGTGATTTTCTGCATTACAATTTAATTGCTGTCCAAGGTAGACGATTTTATCAACTTGCTCAAGTTTGATATTATTTACATATATAGACGGTTTTATATTCTGTTGTTTACTTATTACGAGTATTTTGGTTTTCCTACAACCAAACAACCGACCTACAACAGTGCTTTACACTTATTTACAATTTGATTAATTATAAATTATGTAGGTACATCATTTTCAATTAAAACTTTATAATTTTCAGGTGAACTTGAATTTTACTCCTCCAAACCCCTTTGTGCCCAATCTCTCCTCAAAAACGATCAGTCCAAATCAATTTATGTACCCCGGAATACCTCCCGGATTCACCCCTTACGATCCCAGAGTGATGGCTGCCTATTATAATCAATGGTACGGACAGCGGATGCCGTTTCCTACTGGAGCTCTACCAGGACTCAGTCTAGACTTGAATCAGAGGAAAGGTTTGGAGATTTTAACTTCCCCAGGAAGCCCTAAGATGGATACGTTGGCGCAAACGATTCTCAATCATCAGGTGAGGTTTTATAATAAACAATTTCCTATAATCATTAAATTTTACTCTTTATATATTAATAAATTATACTTTAGTATAAAAATTATGTATGTTTCGAATAGATTTTGTATGTTCAGAGGAAGTCTGATAATATCGATACATTTTTGGCAAAGTAACGTAAGTGACAATTTTGGCGAAAATAATGTTTTTCAATTAAACTAATGCTATTACTGTTAAAAAGGTACTGAAAGAGTGTAGTAAGCCTAGAATTACTTTAAACCTTTTTTAGGACAAGTTTTTTTCAGTCATAATTTAAATAAGTTTAACCAGGTTGAATTAAAAAATTGTTTTTTTACAAATCGTTTTTGGTGACTTACGTTACTTTGCCAAAAATGTATCGATATACTCTTGGTAACTATGATGTCATCTGCCAACTTTCTTCCGCTTGTCATCTATTATTTACAAATGTCGCGTCATATGCCATCTGTCACGCGTTAATTGCTTTGCTATCAAATGCGCTCTGTCGCTAGTTTTGCAGTCATTGGCAACTATTTTGCAACACAATATTTAATATGTATCATTATTATGTTATGCATTGTCACAAATGTCAATTTTATACAGATTTTTAAGATAAATTTCTTTATTTTAGCTGCCTACTAGACCTTCTTCTCTGACTTCCACGACCATATCCCCTCTCCCAAGACCTCACAACGTTCCATCCCTTTCTATCCCTACTATTACGAAACCGGTGTCCACGATGAAGAAATCGTCGAAGGAAATGAAAAGCGAGAGGAGCCTAGAGACGGTTGTTGAGAAAATGACTCAGAATAGGAACAAATTATCAAATAAAGTTCAAAATGATTCGTCGAATCCGAGAATGAGGGAAGCGGAAACGAATAAGATGGAGATGCAGAAGAATTCTCCGTCTATAGTTGATAGAACGGATAAGGGAAGCGGTGGTGATAGTGCTAGTGTAAAGAGAATCGAGGAACATAAAGCAGAGCTCAATAAAATCAATAACATTAATAGTAAGTAATAATTATTAATCAAATTATAATTGCTTATATTAATTATATCCATGTACACATTATCACCATGCGACGGAGATCCAATCAATTGCATCTACAATCACTCCACTTAGTTTTTTCTGTCTTCTGTCTCCTCCTATTTAAGGATATGACGACAACATAATGATATTTTAGTCTATTGTACAACTTTCATAACAAATAAATTACTTTTGGAGAATCACTGAACTTTTGCGTAAAGTCGTCTTATGAAATTGATCTACGTATAAAAACCAGCATAATTCTAGTCTGGTAATTTATTTGTTGGAAAAGCTCGAGTTTTGTATTATATTTTTACCGATCACCAAATTCGCAACCAATTTTTTAGGGTCAAGAAACTTTTAAAAGAATTAAAAATTAAATTCTTAAAATAATAAACTTCTTGCATGAAAGGACCGGCGCATATACTTGGATCAAATTTAGTTTTGTGTGTGATGTCTTGTTGACCTCTGTATCGACAATAATTGCTACTCCACGTCTATACTGGTTGTCAATGTGTCCCGATTAATATAAGGTACCGGTTTCTGTCGAAAGGTATTCTGAGTTAGGCCACCATGTTTCGCTTACACCTAATATATTTATATTCATTCTTCTCATTTCTTGGATGATGTTATGCATTTTACCAGGTTGATACATGTTTTTGACGTTCCACGTACCTATATTTGCTTTTGATAATTTTACTTTGTCTTGTTTCGATGTTTGACAAGAGTTTCGCCGGTTAATGACCTGCGAGTCCTTGTCTGTTCCTCCCCTGGCGGATCTTGGGCTCCGATTCCCATGATGAGTTTCTTTTTTTCTTTTAGTACTCATTACCATCATGATTGTACTAAAGATATCCAATTGGATCTTTAATGCAGTGGTTTCTCTTTGCCTTCTGCATCCTTATGCCGTTGACCATTTACTTGATTCATTCGCCTTTGGTACCAATTTCTTAGCTCCAGGACATAAGAGTGCCCTTCCACTTACCAACTCATCCGTCCGAAGCCGTTGGTCACTAAGTGTGGGATTGCTTATACCGGCAATCGCTCTATGGAATTTTCGCATATTTGGCTACCCTCACTTAGTTTAGTCTGCAGCACAATGCAGTAGCCCAGGGTGTGATACGTAGAGCAATAAGTAGTGAGAGTTAGTTGTTTTATGAGGACCAGTTATCAAGAATCATCTCCCGTTTATAACACTCGATGTGTTCATTCCGATAAAAGGTAGTACCTCTATAACACAACTCTACACCTCTGGTAGGTAGGTACCTACTAGGGGTGTGAGGTAGGCAGGTACCTACTAGGGGTGTGAGGTAGGTTAGGTTAGGTTAGGTTTTGAGAATTTCGTAAGTACAGTTATATTCAAAGAAAAAGGGTACAAGTATTAGAAAGGGAAGTTAACGTCATCCTATTTGTGTAAAACCGGCTGGGATTTTTGGAGGTTATCAAATGTCACAAGTGATGAAAAATGCAACTCATAGACGTCAAAGAGGTTTAATTTGATAGAAGGTTTAACGTTACGTACAATAAAAAATTAATATGCCTCGTCATTTAAGTGAGATTGAAAAGGCTCAAATAATTACGAAAATGAAAGAAGGATGGTCAATTCGCGCGCTAGCAAATTTCTATAATAGAAATTTGAAAACAATCTTTAGAATTAAGCAACGATGGGTCCAACAACAATCATTAAAAAGAAAAGTTGGTTCAGGGCGTTCCAAAGTATCCACTCCTCAACAAGATGCTGCTTTAGTTCAATTCTTAAGAGATAATCCATTTTCGACGTCGAAGGATTCAAGGATTCATACGGGATTTCGTGGTGCCCAACCTACTGTAAGCAGAAGGATCATTGAATCTGAATTATAAAACCGACCAGCTGCTAAAAAACCATTAGTAACTGTTGAACATTGGCAAGCAAGAGTAATATTTGTACTAAACTATATTTACCGCAACCCACAATTTTGGAACAACGTCATTTTTACTGATGAAAAGACTTTTAAATCGACCTATAACGGTCAAATCCGTGTTTATCGTCCAGCCAATACTAGGTTTGAAGAACGATATATTCACTTTCATAATAAATCTGGACGTTTTTCTGTAAATGTATGGGGTTGGATTAGTATACATAAACCTGGTGTTTGTTGGGGATTAGAGGGAAGATTTACTGCCGACAATTACATTAACGTTTTGGAACACGTAATGCTCCCTTCTATTGAGCAATTGTATCCTAATAATACTTTTATATATCAACAAGATAATTGTTCAGTCCACACTGCCCATGATGTAAGGAATTGGTTTCAAACGCAAAACCTGGAAGTATTGCCATGGCCTGCACACAGTCCAGATATAAATCCAATTGAAAACATTTGGGGCATAATTGTTAAAAAAATATATAAAAGAAATTTTATGCCACAAAATTCAGATCAATTGTGGGATACAATCTTAGAGTGCTGGGAAGATCTTGATCCAAATATGATATCTAATATAATTCAAAGTATGCCAAATAGACTAAACAAAGTTATAGAAGCAGACGGTTCTATCACCAAATACTAAATTCTATTTGTAACAGTCATTAAAATTATTCTTTATATAATTGTTGAAAAAATGGTTTCGTCTAATTAATGCTCAACGCCAATGATTTATATTTTTAATATCCTGTGACATTTGATAACCTCCAAAAATCCCAGCCGGTTTTACACAAATACGATGACGTTAACTTCTCTTTCTAATACTTGTACCCTTTTTTTTTAATATAACTGTACACTTACAAAATTGATATTTTTCATTTTGGAATCCTATACTGCTATTATTTAATCAATAGCACCACTATCTCTTGAAAAACGTTAATTAATCCATTTTTTAATTGTCAAGAATATGAAAACATTGAATGCCTAAACTAAGAAAAGAAAAAGAGGTAGAATACCTATTTTTTTAATCTTTTATTAACAAATATATTCGCAGAATATTGATCACTCTCGATTTATTTAATTTAATCCTCTTACAGTCTTTACTAAGTCTATCAGTACAAGAATTATAATGTTCGATTTTGCTTCAAATATTGTATTCAACACAATTTATTTTTAGAGTTGGTAGTTCAGATTTCTTTCCTAGATTGCGCTAGGTGTTTAAATCTAAACTAACATAAAGCTTTAAATCAGTTTGTTTAATCAATCTTATTTTAAAATTACTGCAACCAATATGGATTGCAACCAATTACTGCAAAAATATGATTGAAATGTTAGATGTTCCTAGTTCAGATTTTTTTCCTAGGTGGCGTAGTTAACTTATTGGACAAACAGTGTGCCTTGTCATCCTAGCCTTTTATATAGATAGTGTATCTGTAGCTTCTGCAGTTATAGTGTATTTCGGACATAAATAATTAATACAATAAACTGTACACCTTTAAAAAATCAGGGATTTCTACTTGACAGTGACTTATTAGTTTTTCTCCCATTACCAAATACAGTTTACAATGTTGCAGTTTTTAGTTTAATAATTATTTAACAATTAATGTTACTTTTTAATAAACATCAATATATTTTTCTATTTACAGACAAAGTTGATAGCGAAACGAACCAATTATTGGAAGTTCCCTCAAATGATCTGTCGTCGAGTACTTCTGTTAGCAATAGAACCGAAGAGAAGGAAGATCCGCCAAAAGCTGTTAGTGATACTAAATCTCCCGCCATACTTACCACACACACGACCACCAGAGACTCATCTCAACGAGGTACAGAAAAACTCGACAATGTCGGGCAGAAAGAAGAGAAGGAGAATCGGGTGGAAGTGGCTGTTAATGACCGAAACATTTTGAATGAGGACGCGTGTGGTAATCAGACGGAGGTGAAGGAAAAAGAGTGAGGGACTGTTGAATATTTTCAATATTTAGTGATATCAATAACAAAGTAGTCATTTCAGATAACTTTTTGCTGGCGATGCTTTCAATTTTTTCGAACAAGATTTTTTCGAGACTGTCAACACTTTGTACTTGATCTAAGAAATATTTACAGATATTAGTGTGTCCTGACATTATATCTGTGTTTGTTTAAACTCCGAATTACGAGATAAAGTCTCTACTTTAACAGTTTAAATAATACAAGAAATGAAGTAAAATTAAATAATCAAGACCATGGATCCTTTTTTACGAAATTAATAAAAAAATTGAGTGTTTCAATTATTTTTAATGGTTTACAATTTTCTTTGACCGCTTCAAGTTTCTTTCTTACGGTATGATCTTTTCTTTCATCTTCAAGTTTTCGACATTATCAAAGCTTCGAGGTTCCTTCAATAGATTTAAGTTGTATGTAATAGCTACAAATTTCGTTTAAATTTTCTTCATTAGCTGAAAACTTGTTAAACATTTTCAATCTGACTTTAACAGTTTGAATTTTTATATAATAGCTACGTTCAACAATTTCAAACAGCTTTCGTTAACAGCTTCAGATAACAGTTCTAAATTTTCTCTAACAGCCTTAAGTATCCTTAAACAACTTCATCTTGTTCGCAGTGGTTTTAAGTTTTCTTAACAATTCGGATTTTCTTTACGGTATCAAACTTTCCTCAACTCTCGTTCAGAGCTTAAATTTTTCGAAACCATCAAATCCTTCAAAATATAAAATCGTTGATTCGTCAATAATTTAAGGTAGTATGTAACAGCTTCAATTTTTTTGGGTTGTTTTAAGCTTCCTTCGTTAGCTAGCGATTTTGTGTAAGGGTTTTAAATCTTCTTCAAGATTTTTTTTAACAGCTTCAAGTATTTTTTTAACAATTAAAAATTTGTTTTAATTGCTGCACCTTGTTTTTCTATAGTTTAAATTTTCAAACATTTTTATAAAAGTTCTTTCAAACAGTCTTCATAGTTTGCCACCCTGTCTCCAAAAGTTTTTAGGGTTTTTCTACAAAAATTTAAGTCAAAAGTCAAGAAAACACGGAGTGTTGACATTCTCGAAAAAATTGTTTTTATGGAAAACCAAAATAAAAATAATATAATCAATAAGTTCCAACAGATATAAGTATACTTCTAAGTTACAGAGACCTACAACGGAATGTCATAAAATATTGTCAAGAGTGTTGATATGGTTGAAAGTATATGAATCACAATGCACCAAATGTAGCAAACCACCAAAACAGTACAAATTTTCTATCAGTTTAAAAAGAAAAAGTTTCAAATCGATAAAATACTAGTTGCAGTTGATTTTATGACATCTCGTATAGTAAAATCGTTATCGATAGCAATGTGCTTCGCTGTTATGTTTCTATTTAAATGGGTGAGAAACGCTGCATTGAAACTAATCGTTTTGAAGTCAAAATTTTTAATCGAAAATAATGCGTCTTCCATTTTATCAAAAGTTTCATAATTAGTATAAACTCTCACCTCATTCCCTGCACAAACAACGTCGGTTTTGGCTATGTTGACAGTGTTGCCAGTCTATTAATATTTCATAAAGTGGGACCACTTAATACAATTGTTTTGGAACTTTATTAAACATTTCCTATAAATAAAATTGTGACATAGGTAGCTCAGGTGTGAGTGTATCTGCCTTTGGTGCCGACTGATGTGGATTCGATTCCCACTACAAAACTAAAAAGTATTCCAAAGTCGCCATCGGAAGGTAAATGACAAAATCACCAAGTTTAACTTGCCAGTACAGTTCTTCTACACTTGGTGATTCAGAATCGACGTTAAACTGTAGGTCTTGTATATCTGTGTACTTTTAATGGTATACAACACAGATATACTACAGAAGCGGCCTTCGTTCAATATTGGGCATGGCAAATTTTCATTTTCATGTACAAAATTATTCTACCAATTACTCTAAATCCTAGGTTTCAATGCAGCTAGTACTTACAGCGCTGTGGTCTTCTAAAAACGGCTAGTGTCATTAATTTGTATAAGAAAAAAACAAAGTTTATCGGGTATTTATATTATTTTACATCGTTTTTCGAAAAAAGTGCCTGGGTCCAGTAGTAGAGATCGGTTCTGTACATTATTATTGTAAATTAGCAGCTCTGAGGTGCCTTCGAGAAGAATTTTATTTTGTAGACTTTAAGCTTATGTATAAAAACTTAAAATATCAACCTTCAGTCTTAAATCAATACTCCGCTTCGGTAGGTACACTAAGTTTGTTGAGTTTTTCCTTGAGCCAAATGAGAAATGTAAGTTCGCCCCTTTTTTTTCTATAAGTAGAGAGTTTTAGTTTGGGGGAAAATGAATAATATAAAAAATTTGTATATAGGAACCGCACAAATTGTTTTTACAAAAGATTATAATTTTTTCAATTTTATTTACAAAATACAGACGGCGCAGAATGTGTTTGAAATCGTATTTCGGTTTTTTTTTTCAATTTTCGATTTTTTTATTCATAACACAGGTCTACAAAAAAAAACTTTTTGAAAGATGTTTTAAATTTGACAAGTGATTTTATATAATTTTGGTGCGCTGATTCCAAATCTGTAAAGCATGTTTTTCTATCACTTACGATATTGTAGCAAATAAAAAAATTAAAAAAACACTAAATGTGCTTATAAATACATTTATTAATATATTTTAAAAATAAGTGTAATGCTCAAAATAAAGAAAACTACATATTTTGTATGCACAACTTAATAAAATCTTTTCCTTTTTGTCAAAAAACTGCGTTTGGTAGAAATGTTTCTATAAATTTTGTCAGGATTATCACGTTGTAGCATCCAACAGTAGTCTGCCATCATGGATACGCTCCATTTACCCTGATAACGTCTTTCCATCTGCTTAATGTCTTGGTGAAAACATTCCACTTGCTCTTCGCTAACAATTCCAAGATTTCCTGGAAATTGGTGTAGATGAGCGAATAAAAAATGTACTTTTAAACTCATATTACATCCTAGAATACGAAAATTTTGAGCCTTTGTGTGACAATGTTTGTATTTTGAGAACGATTTCCGAAGTGGAAATTGAAACGTCAAACGTATTTTTATCTTTAATTGTGGCTTATTCCCAGTTAAATAGTAATTAATGTTCTCATAGTCTGGAACTTTAATATTTCCCAAGAACTTTTCGATAACTTCTTTAAATGAAGTCCACGCTTTATTTTCGATAAGCGTCATATAAATTTGGAAGTTTTCGTCTCTGCATAAAAATCTAATGTCGGGACCAACAAAAACTTCTTCTTTTAATTTTGCATCGGACAACTTGGAAAATTTTAAACAAATATATTTAAAACATTCTCCGTTTTTATCAATAGCTTTAACAAACTGTTTTATCAAACCTAATTTTATATGCAGAGGGGGCAATAAAATTCTTTCAGGATCAACTAATGCAACACGCATTGTATTTTATGTTTTTACTTTCTGGCGTAAGGTTTTCTCTTGTAGGCCATTCTTTTTGGGTCCAATGTTTATCTCGTGCTCGGCTGTTCCATTCTCAAATGAAGCAAGGAAATTTAGTATAACCTGACTGTTGCCCAGGTAGCATACACAGAACTTTTAGATCTCCACAAAGCATCCAATTATGGTCTGGGTATATAATTTTTTGATAAGAGAAGTTTCAAGTTTTCGTATGTTTTTTTTAAGGTGAACAGAATGAGCGACCTGAACAGAAGCCAGAGTATTACCATTGTGCAGTAAAACACCTTTTAGACTACTTTTAGACTACTCTTCCTTTTCATAAGAATTAATTCCTAGCTTAATAACTAAGTCGGAGATATTGTTACAATATACTAAAGAATCTTCTTGAGTAAAATATGGACTCAGGTCCTGTTCTCGATTTCTGTACAAACTGGTTGATGTACCTGGAGCCAGCAAATTTTTATCACGAAGTCTAAAGGCTAGAAGTTCTGAGGCATCTTTGGGAAGAGTTAAGTCTCTTATTAAATCGTTTAATTCCATTTGATTAAATAGTTGTGGTACTTCTTCTGCTTCAAAAGTAACGTCGGGATCTATGGACTCAAATGCAGACTGTTCCGAATCAGACGATAACACATTCTCTAACTCCTTTGGTGGAATAGGTAAGGGTACATCAGGGCAATGAGAAATAGGTGTAATAGCAGATTTTAGGTTCGGGTATAAAATACTTTTTTTATTGCTACAATTAAATCCATTTAAATCGCAGTATCAAAAGTAGATCAGAATCATTTTGTGGCTCACGCCACACCATGGGAACTTCAAAACTCAATGACTTTTTTTTTCCTTTTGTCCAACTTCTTAAAGCTTCTACACAAACTTTACATACAATATGTGGTGCCCAAGATTTGTTTTGTTCTCCTATTTTCACTTGGATGGCATGATACGCATTACGAACAAATAAGGTTGTTATGTCTTTGATTTGCAACCACAAAACTGCCATAAATACAGGGTGTTTCAAAAAAAGGTAACCCCGTCTCTAGGGTAGGTAAAACACTGAAAAATAATTGGGGTTTGCTTAGTAAAAAATTTTTGTAACGCCATCCGTTTTCAAGATACAGGGCGTTAAAGCAAAAAAAAATTTACGTATTTTTTACGATTTTGCCGAAACTACTGGCAACATTGTAATGAAATTTTATACGAATATGTTGTGGAAGCTGATACATCCCATGAATTTGTTTTTATATCTTATTCTCATAGAGGGCGCTAGTTACACGGATCGTACTAAGTATTAGTCAATATAACTTTTTTAAGAGTATAATTATTAATCAAAATTTCAAGTAAACTTAAACATCATTCAATTTTACACGAAAAAGGTACTCTTGGTAAAACTCGATACTGTGAACCGTTTTCGAAATATTTTGATTTGAAAATTATGAAGTAATAATTGATGCTGGTATAAAATAGTTAGTAATTAAACAAAATTCACAAGAAGAAAATTAAATTAACGAAGAAGAACATAAAGTAAAATTCAATTACAGTAAGTGTTCAAAATGCCCTCCGTTTTCGCGAATATACAAGTCTATTCTTTTTTCTAAAGATTCCATTAACCTTCTAAACGGTAGGGGATCATCTATGATGTCATTAAATTGACGTTGAATTCTTTCTTCCAATTCTTGGCGTGAATTTACCTCTGTAGCATAGACTTTTTCCTTAATATACGAACAAACTGCGTAGTCCGAGTTAAACATACCTTGTCGCGTAAAAGTGGCCTTGTCCGTAAAAAGAATGCATTTTAAAAAAATTGGATTGTGGACTGTCCTTTGTTGCAATGTTTCACAAAAATCCACTCTAACCGGTAGATCATCTGGCAAGAGCTCTTGGACTTGTCTGTAATGATAAGGATGTAATTACTATTCTTTCAGTATCCGATAAGTACTTGACGAAGAAGAAGTATTTGTTTGTCTTGCTATATTCCTTATGCTAACTGTTGGATCTTGGTCAAGTAAATTTAAAATATTATTTTCTTTATTAATTGTTCTTGTTGTTCTTGGTCTACCAAAATTTATTTTATTTGGTCTCACATTCCCAGTTTCTCGACAACATCGTTCAACGGCTCTAAATGTTTTTTTACTTGGTAACTTTTCTGCATAACGTGTCACAACTGCACTAGAACATTCGCCTAAGGTTAATAACATGTCAGTGTATTCAACATTTGAGTACATTTTGATTTGATTTTACAAATAACAAGGTTGCAAAACTCCAATTATTGTTGATTTATCGTCATAACAATCAATAAATATCAAATTTCCATGGCACACTTCTAGAAAATAGAGGTATATCTATTAGAACTTTATGATTACTACCAGCATCAATTATTACTTCATAATTTTCAAATCAAAATATTTCGAAAACGGTTCACAGTATCGATTTTTACCAAGAGTACCTTTTTCGTGTAAAATTGAATGATGTTTAAGTTTACTTGAAATTTTGATTAATAATTATACTCTTAAAAAAGTTATATTGACTAATACTTAGTACGATCCGTGTAACTAGCGCCCTCTATGAGAATAAGATATAAAAACAAATTTATGGGATGTATCAGCTTCCAAAACATATTCGTATAAAATTTCATTACAATGTTG